CCGGCCGGCACACGCGTGTCTGTGTGTGAGTGAGCGAGTGCCGGGGTCGGGTAGCGCGGAGGAAGCGCAGGCCCCGGGCTGCGTGTCTCGGCGGCTCCGCTGTTGCCCCCGGAGGGTCCCGGAGCTCCGGCACCCTCGGCTGGAAGGGCCCTCGGTGCGCGGGTGAACCGGCTTCACCGTGTCTGCCCCGGCGCGCAGGGGGCGGCGGTGTCCCCTACCTGCCTGGCGGCCGGGTCCCTAAATATGGACGTAGGGATCAACCTGTTCAGCAGCGGATAAGGGAGGTGCGCTTCTAGTTTTGCTTTATTTTGGTTTTGTCGGAGCGAAGTGTCTCCCTTCACGGTGGTCTCCAACGTTCTGAACGCAGAATGTGAATCGTAGCCGTATCTAGGTTTCAGCAGTCAGCCTGAGCTTGTGTGTGCGGCATGGAGCTCGTTGATGTCAAAGCCCAAACGTTTTATGTTCAAATGTGAAATTTCTTCCCCCCACCCCCCCCGAAATTGGGTGCAACCTTATCCTTTCTGAAACAGATAACTGCGTATTTGGTGTATATTGTCTTGGAGTAAAAGGAGAACTTTGCTGTGCTTTGACGTGCATGTGACATACAGCAGGCTCTGTACTAAAGGCATTATTAGTAATTAGGTTTCTCAGGATAGTAGGTAGATCTTTGTTGTTGCTGAGGTTTTTTTTTTTTCCTTTTTTCTTTCTTTGCACACAACTATACTAGCAGAGATTGTTTTTTTCTGACCTGCTTGCTGTTATGCCTCCGTTTGAAGATTAGGGCTGGTGTAGTGCAGCTTTGTGTCAGAGTTTTTCCCTAATATGATCAGGCAAAACTGATCACTGCATTGTAAGCTAAATGGGAAGCATGAGCTACTCAAGGGAACTTCACCTGAAGTAGATATATTTGAAAATACTTGTCTGTCAGAATGGTCAGGAATTAGCAGTGTGAGGGGAAGGGAACAGAAAATCTAGATCTGAAAGAGTATCTCTATATTAAATGGCAGTATTGCTTTTTGGAAGCCTATATGAAAGGGAACAAGTTTTTTGAGTGTCTTCTAATACTCTTAATTTTGTGGTCGTGACAGATTGATGACATTCATGTGTTACCTGTACTTAGGCTTTTTGGTTAGGTGGTTTTTGGGGGGGGGGTTGGGGGTTTGTTTTGGTTTTTTACCCCTACAGCAAAGCTTATATGGAGTTGGTAAAGCACTTAAGTTTCTTTTACTTCATGCCTGTTTAATGCAGGTTTCCTGTGATTAAAATGAGCAAGTTAAAATAATTGTTTATTCAAAAACATTCTTTTAAATGTACTGCCTGAAACAAGGGAAACTCTTGTCTTTTTGATCAGCACTTGTTAAAAATGGCCTATTGATCTTAAATGTTTTTGTGTTGGTTTTTTTTCCATTCTAGCTGGCTTTTTAATCTCTTAAAAATAATAAGTAAAAACTTAACAGGTGCTAATTAATAGCAGTATGGTACTCTGTGTTTTTATTCACGTATTTATGCTTACAAGCAGGACGAGCCTTCAGGGCTATTGGTCAAGGAGTATCACAGAGAAAGAGGCCTTTTTACTGCTGGATGATTGGAGAAAGAATCTTGAGCGTCCCTATGGGATGGTTTTCTTGAGAACATGTTTGAGACTATAAGAAGAAGCTGTTCTTCTGAGCTGGGTCTAAGACAGTATTGTCAGCTGTTGGGAGAAAAGGGGCTTTATTGTGTAATCCAAGCACAAGTATTATTCATCATTGTGAGCAAAGATTATATTCTGGTGGCCCAAAGCCTATGTGATATGTCAGCCTACCTAATTCCTGCATTGCACCAATATCCATTCAGGCACTTAATGCTCTTTCTTTTTGTCAATCGATGTTCTCTATAGTATGCTTTAGCCAGGTGCGATGCTTTGTTCTAGTTCTAAAATTAGAGTTAAGACCTGACTTCAGTGACCTGAGCTCCTCTTCCTTCCATCTGTGGGGAGCAGATAGTCCTTCTGGCACATGCTTTCTCCTCTTGGTGGGAACACTGCCATTGCTTTATTTCTACACTTTGGTTTCTTTCTATAGTAAAAAACAAAATGTCACTTTGTTTTACTTGGGGTTTGGGGGCTTTTGTCCTATTGTGCTGAATTGCATATTTTGTACCTTACCTTTCTTCTACTGGAATGCTGAAACAAAAGATTTTGGAGAAGAGTCATCTTTGTACTGGGAAAAGATGAGAAACACAAACTCTTGACTAGTGAGAGAAGCACCATGTTGTATGTTTAAGTTTACAAGCAGTTAGGTCGTGGTGGTGTAGTTTGGTATGTTGAAATTTTGGGAGTAAAGAAAGCTGAAATGCTTTGGCTCCTGTGGAGTTGGACAATTAGTGGGCCTGTGTCCTTCTAAACTTCTTGGCCACTCTGCTTCCTGAATTACTTCTTTAAAAATAACTCACACCTAGATTTTTGAACTTGCAACCACGTTTTGCTGGGCTTGCCGCAATCAGTTTTGTAGATATTTTGTTAACTCTGAAGTCTAAATTGCATTTTGTTTCAGTGCTACTGTTGTGCTTATGCAAAATGTTGTTTAAGTTAGAGAAAACTTACCTAGTTTCTAAAAAGGCTCACAAATGGGAGCAGGAAGTTACTACAAATAAATATTCACCTGATCTTTTGTCAGTTTAAGAACAAAGTTTTTAAAATTGTAGACTCATCTGGCTGCTAGTACCTGTATTTTCATTGGTCAGAGATAATCATGATTATTGTATTTCCCCCATGTTTTGTACAGTAACTTAATGCTTTCTTTGTGAAATGCAAAGTTTGTTCTCTATTTACCATGAAACTTCTAAAATGTGTAGTTACCCAAAATAAACAAAAGGCTTAATTTTACTGGTGATGACTGACTGATCCCTGATTCTCTCCTTCCTTTCTCTTCCCCTTCATCTGTGAAAACAGCTGTGGAAGTTTATTTCTGTAACTTTCTGACAAGTATGCAGTCATAAAAGAAAATATGGTAGGCATGGGTCCTCTGTGGTTTGCACTTGTGGGGAAGGTTAGAAAATGAATTCATGCATCAGTGTGCTTTGGTGGTAAGACAGGGCAAAGTTGTGCTGTTGATGTGATTGGTTGTGCATCTCTGCTTATCACTTTAGATTGGAATAAAGTAACATTGGTTAAGGCTTCTGGTCAGAGTTATCTAACTGGGCTTGTAACCTGCTTTGAAAAGATGTTGCAAGTTTGTTGTCATCTTCCTGCTGCCTATAGCATTTATTCTCCCATTTCAGTATTCAGGGACAATAATTAGGCAGAACTAATGAGGTGTTCTGACAGAAAAAAGTTCAAATTTCCCACTGGTCTGGCAAGATGTATCAGCTCAGCAAGGAGTTAAACAAATGCTGGAGTTGGTGTCAGGGAAGCAGTGGGAGTTATGGAGCTGTAGAAGGAAAGACGGAGATGGGCTTCCTCTTTCTCTTTGGTGGTAGTGAGCTTGGACTTAGTCTTGTCCAGCTGCATTGTGTGTGGTTTGGGAAAATGAATGATGGCATGGGAAAGAAACAAATAAGGGGTGGTGGAGGATTTTTTTATTTTGAAAATAATTATTGCTAATAGTCTTATTTTGTAATAGCTCAACAGGAGGACTTAATTTTGGAACTCTGGGCTCTTCCACTGCTACAGCAACTACATCAGCTCCTTCAGTGGGCTTTGGGAGTGGACTTTTTGGATCAAAATCAACAACTGGCTTTACACTAGGAGGCACCAGTACAGGTAGAAAAAATGCTTGTACAGCAGAAATTTGAATCAACAGTGAAGAAATATATCATGTACACAAAATCTGGTTCATCATAACATGCTTACTTTTTTTTACAGTAGTTCTGTAGCTCGGAATATTACTTACCTAGTTTTGTAAAAAGGCTTCACTGAACAGTTTAAAAGTCATTCATTGAGAATTATGCAGTACCAATGCTGTAGAAACAAATGCAGTTACCAGAAAACTGTGCCTGGGCCTGTGTGTAAATTGTTCCATAATTTGAATGCTGATGTTTTCTAGAAATCTAACTCTTCATCTTGGATGCTCAAAATTATGATTTAAGATTGAGGTATATTTTGATCTGACAAATATTTAAAAACATTGTGAGATCATTGTTTGTAATGTGGTGTTTGTAATCCTGCAGTAGTAAACATTTCTGATTTTGTTGTTTGCATTTTTTTTAACATTAGCAATATGCGTGAAGAAATTTATTAATATTTTCTTAGGTCTCTAATTCAGCCTATGAACATATTCTTATAGGAATATTGGAGTGCAAAAGAATAAAACTTTCTGACTGGAGGTATTTTTTTTAGCCATCGGTGTACACTTGTATGAGTAGATGGTGAAGGTTCTAAGAACCAATCTACTAGAAATAAATTGAACAGCAGACTGAAAGCCTTTATTACTGTGTTTGGCTACATTGGGGTAATTTTCTTTTAGCTCTTAATGATTCTTTTGATCTTCTAATCAGATGTTTTTTAAAATATGAAATGGCATAGCACTGTGTTCAAAATAATCTCTTTAAGTTACCAGTGGGGCAGAAACCCTAAACGAAGACACAGGATTGTACAAAGAATTTGGACTCTATAATCCTCTTCATTATACTGTAAATCTGCTGGTTTATATGCTAATGTTATGTACTGCCACATGGCTAAAAAAAATACTTGATAGAATGACTAGTTTCCATATTTTTGTTTACCTTCATTTGTTTGAAATTTCAAACAATTTGCTGTACTGATGCGTTAATATCGGCCTCACTGCTAGCAGATTCTTATAAAGAAAAATGATGGGTTTTGATGTCAGTTATGCTTTGATTTGTGCTGTTGGTGCTTACAAATACTGTTTTCTATGTCAGTGTTGTTTTGCTTTCTACATACTACAGAAAAAGCTTGTATAATAGTCTACATGTTGTCTCAATGTTGCACTACTTCAGTGTTTTGTTTCATGTTTTTTACTATCATAACTGCTCTGTGGTCTTCAGTTACTATTCTTACTCTGTTTGTTTGTTTTCATTCTTAAAGCAGGAACAGCATCAACTATTGCTACAGGACTGACGCTAGGTAAGGACCTCATTTGGATTTTAATGTTACACAGGCAAAAAAAAATACAGATAGATTCTTGTAATGTAGTAAGTTAGTGGTCATATGTGAGCTTTTTCCCCCGTTACTAATTGCAGTCTGCTTTGCAGCCCAGATGTTAAGGCTGCAAACTAGAGTGGAGCCCTGCAGTTCTGGGCACTGTTACTTGTTGTTAAAGGATTATTCCGTTCCTGTACAACAGTGACAGTGGTCACAGTGAAAAGTTAGACTTTGTATTTATGTCTCCCTAATGAGTTTCATCCTTCGGCAGAGAGGAGGTGGAATACGTTACCAAAGAGTTCTTCATACGGAATTTCTTGTTCTAATGAACTTTGTGTGAACAGGTCTGTTTGGTAATTGCCTCTTTTAGAAGAATAAAGAGGGTTGAACAGGGAATGGACATTGGGAATGTTTTACTTTTGTTTCTCTGATGCATCTTTAGTTACTATTTTTTAGCTGTCATTACAAATACAGGAATATGTGGGTAGTTGTGGGGTTTGGTTTTTTTCTTTTTAAACACCAGCAACTGATATCTGAGGAGAAACATGAGCTTGATTATCACAAATGTTGGGGATGGGGGTGGTGCTACAAGATAGACTGCAGTCCAAGAACTTTGGAAGCCATACTGTGAATAGATAGGAAAAAATAGTGTTGGATAAAGAAGAAAATGAAATGGGCAGAAGGGAGGACCAGCAGCTAACCGAGAACAGATTGTGTGATGCATAATCACACGTGGCAGTCAGTACTATGCAGATGAACATTAGTTCTTTTCAATAGCTGAATGAAATTATGTCATCCAAAACAGACAGACAGCAGTTACTGAGAATACCAAGTATGTGTTTCTTATGCGTGCTGTTTTGGTTTGTGTACGTATATGCATATTCCTCCTTTACTTTGAAAGGTGGATTCTAGAACGTAAAATGTATTCTTACCATGAAAACAGCAGGAAGTGAAAGCTTTATTTGCTTTACTTTAAAAGTGTTCAAAAGGAAAGTTTGAAGGAGTAACATTTCAACATACTTGTTTACAAATTGAAAGGACATGGTGCATTCATTTTGGTATGCACATCCAATTGAGAATTTTTAGTCTATATTTTGGGCAGTATTGTTTATAGCTCCATTTGCCAATATTTGGTTCATCTATTAGATGCTCTTGTGGAAGCCTTTTTTTTTTTTACCGTTTTTTTGGATTACCACTAGATATAATTGCCAGTCCATGATTAAAGCCCATTGGATCACTAGGAATTCTGGAGTGAAAATGCCTGTGGAATTAATGTAATTGAAATTTATCAGAAGGTGCTATGGGGATATTTTACTTGATGCAAATGATCTTGCATGCCATGGTGCTCATGATGCTTAAATGGGAACAGTTCAGAAAATAAGGTGAATTGAACATTCGTTCTCAAACAGAATGTTCTAAGAGTGATAATTGTTTTTGGGTTTCTTTTAGGCACGCCTGCCACCACATCAGCAGCTACCACAGGCTTTAGTTTAGGTTTCAACAAACCTGCAGGTTCGGCCACGCCATTTGCTTTACCTGTTACTTCTACCTCAGCAGGTGGCCTATCATTATCATCTGCTCTTACATCAACTCCTGCAGCAGGTAGGAAAATGTTTAGGGGTTTTGTTTAGCTTTTTTTTTCTAAACAATAGAACTTTATGTAAAACAGTTCTACAGTCTATATTTTTCTAGTATTTACATAATTTTGTGTTAGTTCAATAAGAAGGTTCATTGGACTTCTAGTTCTAAATTTGGGTACTCTAATACAGATAGATCTATGGGCAGTATACCATGTGATATAGGCAGTGTATAATCTAAGTCATTGGAAGTGTAGTGAGAGCTGATTTGTCACGTAAAGTCATTATTTTTATTACTGTTAACCCCACTGAAGGTTGAAAGCTTCCTACTTGCGCAGCTGAAAGGTTTGGAAAATGTCTACCTTCTGTAGATGGCCTGAAATGGTTTAACTAATAGTGGAAACAAGGTCTTTTCCAGTGTAGTTCTCATACTGGTGCATTGCCATCATATTTAACTCAGCTAAACTGCACCATGCATGATGATAATTAACACTGGAGTTCATTTCTCTTAACCTTAGGAGTCTGTATTTGAGCTGAGCTCTCTGTGCCCTCTGTGCTCTGTCCCATTATGCCTATGGTCTTTCTCTACTCAATTCTTCCCTATCCTACCAAAAGCTGGGATGCTTACTTCTAGAAGGCGGCTCAAACTACCAAGGAAATGTTCTTGTATCATCTGTCTTGTATAAAATATTTTGATTTTTACCCTAAAGCATTAACATTTCAGCATTCTAATATATAAAGTCAGTAGCACTTGTTAGATCCTTTATGCTGTAAAATAAATTCTTTGCCAGGTTCTGGATTCTCTAGTGTTCTGGGGGACTCAAAAATTCTATATAGTTGCAGGTAAATATGGACTAATCAGGATTTGATACTGTAGAACAAAATAACATATAATTCAAAAGACTCTATGGCTTTGTTTGGAAAATCTGCAGGAAATAAAAACAACAATTGAGTTTATTATTCAGTTATGATAAAGATGCTGTTCAAACCTTTCAGTTATTTCAGATTGTCTATGGATGTGTTTGAGTGCAGTGCCTGCATGAAGCTGGTTTGCTTTCTCTGCAGGAACTACTGGCTTTACGTTAAATTTGGGTGGCACAACTGCACCAACTACAACTGCTTCCACAGGCCTTTCCTTAGGAGGAGCCTTAGCAGGTTTAGGAGGTTCACTCTTCCAGAATACAAGCACAGCAGCAACAGGTGAAAGTTATTTTAATTTTTTTCCTCCTGTCTCAAAACATTGAAATTTAGTGTGCAATTGTATAAATTCATAGTGTAAGATTTAGTTTATATAAAATCTTAACACTGTGAAAGTGTAATTTTTAACAGTGTTACAGTTAAGAACAGTGTTGCTATCCATGGGCAATAAAATGAAATCTGAAATCATTGGCTTTTTTCTCTTTCGCTTGTACTTAACACTTTTGTAAAATGAGAACGTAAGGAAATCTTTGTCATCGCCATAATAGCCTCAAGGAAGTTGATCATAAATGGGAGAGGGCAATGATATATAAGTATCTCCTTTAACTGTGGAGAAGTTTGGAGCTCCTTATTTTGGTGGGTTTTGGTCTGAATAAAATCTTTAAATGTTAGTATTGTCATTTTGTGGCTTCTCTGTCTTTTTCAGCTCTAGAGGAAAAATTTGTGCTGTGTTGTAGTCTTGGTAACACTGCTCTTAAACTCTAAATGAAACAGATACTTAAGAGGCTGATGATAAGTTAGCTATCAAATTAGCTACCTAGTAATGTCAAGAAATTACATAAAACACTTGCATACAGTTGTGTGAAACTTCATGCAGTCTGTTTTCTTCTCTGTTTATTTTGCATATTTTTTTAATCCAAATGTAGTAAATGGACACTGAAACTGCAAACAGGATTATCTGTGCTTTTAGTTTAAAATAAGTTTTAATTATCAGCATTTTAAGTGCAGAAATTCTTTTTGGGTTTCTTGTAGGACTTGGGCAGAATGCTTTGAGTTTGACTCTGGGAACAACTGCGGCTCCTTCAACTACTGCCAATGAAGGTCTTGGTGGCATTGATTTTAGTAGTTCTTCAGACAAAAAGAGTAAGTTTGTCTTAAAACATTCATAATTTTCTTTTTATTGAGAAAATTATCAGAGCACTACAGCAAAGACAGTATTGCATCATGTGGAATTGAAGCTGACGACTTGAACTTTTTTGGTTTTTCCCCTCCCCTCTTACAAGGCATTTCAGTTAATTTCATTCTTGGATATTGTGCTTGTATAGAAGAACAAGATTTTGGTTGCAAATGGAATGGAATGTAAATTTATTTAAAATAAGTATAAGCCAATATCATACTTGAGACCAGGATAGAAACCCTTTAGCCTTTTGGGAATGAAGACCCATAGGGTTGTTTGCTGAAAAACCATGGCAGATTTCTGAACAGCTGTATGTCAAATAGCCAGTAGAGGGGGGAGTAGAGCTATGTTTAAGTAATGCATTGCAAATATGAGAAGTACTCTTTTGAAACCAGCTTTCTCCAACTGTAACGGATCTTAAATCTGGTTTGTTTTTTCTAAAGGCTGCACAATAAAAATATCCTATTTTTAGCTGTTATTCTTCAAGGCTGTATTTCTGGTGGTGCATAGTTCTATCTGATACACTGTGTCAGGTCGTTAAAACCAGTTATAAAAACTTTACCTCTGTTGTAGCTTTGAAGTACTTCAGTAAGGGAATACTGAGCATTGATATATGGACACTTATTAATTTGTCTTGCTTTTATACTTTCAGAGTAAGCTTAACTAAAGCTGATTCTAAAATGTGCATTTCCTCTGGGAAATCAATACTTTTTAATTTAATCTCTTGATTCCATTCAGGAACCAAATTTTAAATTAGGTATACCAATAGCTAAAAGAGAAGGAAATATAGAAACTCTGTGAAACCATCTTTACAGACTAACACAAGTTGTGTAGGCATACTTCATACTTGTAGAAGAGATAGCATATTGACTGTCCAAACAAGTGCTCTGCATGATGTTGATTTTTTTTTTTTAGTTTACTGAAACTGGGAGTAATGAAACAGCTCAAATTCCTAGGTTCTTATGGGATTTCCATTACTATAATATTAGGATATCACAACACTTCTATAATATACAAGTATCTTAAAATGAGGACCAGAGAACCACAGATTCAAAATCTACTTCAGTCTGACATTTCAGCATTGTTTTGCCCAGCTGTTAGGGTGGAAACTTGATGAGTACCTGAATTCCCTATATGTTGCATAGTGGAACTGGGTGAGTTGAACTATTGCTGTCAGGATGATAAGCAGAGAGACCCCTTAGCTAAGTAGTGGGAAATGTTGAAGGAGACTGGGTTTTGAGGTTTGTTCCACCCACCCCCCCCAATTTAGGTTTTAATTTAGGAGTGTTTCCTGTAATGGATAGTGCTGGTTTAAGCAGCCCTGACAAATATCCCTACCTGTGTGCTGCTACTCAATTCTGTCAGTACAATTGTTTATACTACTATATGAGGAACTGAGTTAAGGTTTGAGGGTGGTGGTTTTATGGTTTTGTGGTTTTTATTTCTTTTTGCTCCTGAAGAAAAGGGAGGAGGAGATGTGGATACCAAAGAAAAGTGCCCTAGGAATCTCAGGACAGATAGGGACTAGCACCTGTGTTCTCTCTTCTGGAATTGGTTATAAAAGCTTTTCCTTCTGCAGACTGACTGTCTACGGCTGCAGGAAAAGAAGCTGTTCTACATATTTTCCTCATGTATTACTAAAAAGAATATAAAAAAAATAAATCTAAAAACTAGAGCACTCACTTGCCCAGAAAGTAGCAAAATCTGATTTCGAATCTGTATCTTCTACTTTGTAAGTATTGTTCTGATGTACAGCAAAAAAAAAGAAAAGCGGCCAGAGAGAGAAAGCAATGTAAACTTAGTTTTCTGCCTAATCTTTAGGTTATCAGCAGAGAAAGGGGTCCTAAATTTTGGGGTTTATCCTTTTTTTTTTTTTTTTTTTTTTTTTCAATTTTGTGTAGATTTTTTTTTTCCCCTTAGCAAAAGGCATAGGGAATGGTGAGACTCCATGCTCTCTAATGTACTGGGTGACAGAGTCTGCAGAAAACTTAAGCAGATGTTGCTTCTAAAAGTAGTAGCTTTTCCTGGCAGGAGCACTGGCTTGTGCAGCTTAAAATGTTTGTGGCACTAGCATTAGCTGCATAGCTACTTTCTGCCTTGGTGGCACTGAGAGGAAAGTGAGAATGTGAACTGCATCCAGCTGAAGATGATGAAGCCCGCTGCTTGGGCTTTCTGAGTAAGTGTTATTTCTAGCAGACTGCTACGGCATGGGATGCAATTACTGCCCCTGGCCATGAGTAGAAATAGTCATGGCCTGTGTTGTGCACAATATTGTTTTCAGCTCCATTCTATTACTCAGGCATTTGGCATCTTGATCTACAGATGTGTAGTTCAAGCAGTAACATCTTCAATTCTGTAAAACCTCACTCATTACAGGACTTGCTGCAATAGCAGAATTCTCAGGGAAGTCCAATGGGCAAACCTTCATTACCTTCGTATTTGAGAGGAGACTGCTATTGCTGAATTTAAACACCTGCATGTTTTGTGAGTGCAGGTTTAAGTGAGTTGTGGTTGCACAAGCTGGAAGAGATTTCTTATGCAACTGCAGTTGTTTATGCATTTGTAGTGACTTGTATAGTGACACAAGATGTTTTGCATTACTCTGTGTCAGGAAATTAGCACCTCAACTGTTGAACCATTGGTCTTGAAAAGATATTTATCTGTTAAGGAGGAGTAAATTAAAACCTTTCTTTTGTGGCTACCCTAGTCTGTTCCTCTTATCAAGAGAAATCAAGCAGGTTCTGGTCATTAGTTCTTCCCTAAAATCTCATTAAGGTTGTTTTGTTCTTCAAAGCTTTATTTCTGACCTACAGTTTTTATTTTCTAGGTGACAAAACAGGAACAAGACCAGAGTAAGTGTCAGATTTTCTTTGCATTTCATGTCTTATTAGAAAACAGCTAAACTAAATGTAGTGGCTTTTCTACTACTTCGATCTTGAAAAAGGCATAAATGTAAATAACCAACTTTTGCAATATGGCCAATTTAGTAATGGTGGTTCATAATTTTGAACATCGCAATTTTCCCATCAAATGCAATACCTACACCTTATCTGGCATCTGCTATGGGCTGATCATGTGGTCTGAAAAGTGGTTTCTGCAAATCTGTACAATGCTTACACCGCCAGCTTGGACCCTGGCATAGTATCTGTGTGCATTAATCCAAATCATTCCTAGTTGCAGCATACATGCAATGGGTGCAAAACTGTGTAATCAGTCACTTGAACGTTTTCATGATATTTAGTAGTAACACAAAAATGTTTGGCAGTATTAAAGCGCCATCTAAACATGTGTTGTCTCTTGTAGAGATAGCAAAGCACTGAAGGATGAAAATCTACCTCCAGTAATCTGTCAAGATGTAGAAAATCTACAGTAAGTAGTAGTTTTCTTATTTATGATAGTTTGATTAGCTAAAGTGTTGTATGCTGTCAATGCTCTGTGACAAAAACACCCTGCTGCAGGCTGCATGCAGTGTAACTCACTGGCCTGAGGCCTTTCTGTAGGTTAACCTTGGGAACAGAGTGGACAGACAGTTCTAGTAGCTGAAGTCTTAGGCTGTTCTTTTTCAGCCTAGCTTTTCCATGCATTTACACAAATGGGCATGCCCAACGAATATGCTCTTAGAATCTAATCCATCTCTCCCTGGGCGTATTAAGCCTGTTGCACATGCATGGTAAGTATTGAACCTTATGTCCATATTGCATGTGCATTGTGGATCTCGTATAGAATAGAGGACCACAAAAGAACCTTTCCTCAGGCAGGAAGGAGGTGGGTTGTAGACTAGTCAAAGAGATTGCATGTCACTGTATTTATGAGTTCATAGTAGTAATCACTTTTACATAGATGCTATATATTATTATTATGTATATAAAATAATTGATAGATATCTTAGTTTGTCAGGGTTCAGCATAAAATGCTTGAACACTTGCTATTGAAGTTTAGGGGGGCTTGGGGTCGTTTGTCTTTTGGTTTTTGTGGTTTTTTTTTTTTTTTACAGTATTAGCATGCTAGGAGTTAAATTACTGTATAGCATAGTATTATCTTTACTGTTCATTACTTAATTTTGGAAAAATTAATTTAATAGCTATTGAAATAATGTGACTGAGAGGTAAACACTTGGGTGCTTCAGATACAATATATTATATTTCTTTCTTCCCCGCCCCCTTCTTTTTCCCTTCCCCAGGAAATTTGTGAAAGAACAAAAACAAGTTCAGGAAGAAATTAGTAGAATGTCCTCTAAAGCAATGCTTAAAGTACAAGAAGACATTAAAGCTTTGAAACAACTTCTGTCTGTAGTTGCCAGTGGATTACAGAGAAACACTCTTAATATTGACAAGCTGAAAGTAGAAACTGCACAGGTATAATTGAATATAAATTTTGTTATATAGAGTTTGTATGTTGATTATTTCATATAGGATAACTAACCTTCTTTATCAGTCAAGTTAACAACTGTCCAAACTAAAACAGTTGTAAACAAAATGAAACATTGAATCCCTTCTCATGTATTTGAAGTTAGGGGGGGAGACTGAAATCTGTGATGTCAGTATTTTCAGATAAGTACAACAGCAATAAAATTACTTTTATTTGGGAACGCACTCCTACACGGTGCAGGCATCAGAAGGGAATGTGTGCCTGCTTTAGTTCAGTTTCAGTTATATATTCAGCTGCTAGTGAAGACATATTTGTAACAACATGCTGGACTCTGGAGCAGCAGAAATGCAAGTATGTTTTCTTCTGATGACTTTTAAAAAAAAAAAAAAAAAAAAAAACCCACAAACAAAAAAACCCAACAAAAAACCAGTCCATAGCATTTCAGGGACCAAAATATCTTAACTAGCACTACTATTGATTTAGTGAACTTGAATCACAACTCTGTCCACCAGTCTGCATCTTAACTGTGCAACCAGTTTGAGCTCAAGTTTTGATGCAAGTACTTTTCAAGTTAAGTTCTGTACCACTTTATGTTTCATCTGGCATGTCAAGGCTGCTTGCTACATAAATAAGTGTATTTTATTCTAAAGTAAAAATCTTGATGTTTTTTCTGTATCTTGTGATACCAAAAGGAAATACTCTGTAGTTGTACCTTGCCAACAGTTTTCTGTGAAAACAAAAACTTGTTACTGATGTTCTCATATTTCTGCAAATGATGCAGTTGAGAACAATTGCAAAACCAGGCACTGAGAAATTCTTAATGGTGGAGTTATTAGAAAGTATTAAACAGAAGTATGTGCTGTAATTATCATGCATAAAAAGATCATTTCCATAGAAAGAGAGGCATTTTTTTGAACTAGTTAATCTTTTTTTTAAAAGGTGAAATAACCCTTTTTGTTCTATTCTTCTCTTTTAGGTGTGTTACTTCCTTGCACTTGACTGTTGCTTTTTTTCCCCTAGTCTTCAATCGTAACAGGATTTCTGAAGTACAGTACAAATTAGATCTTACCTCTGACAGTTCAGTGCAGTATTTTCTCAACTTCTGAGAGCTGTGTGCTTTCAGTATGTGTTGTTGTTTGTCCCTCCCCAAACTCCTGCTGGTATTTGCATTTCTCCGAGGCAGTCTATTCTGGCAGTCTATTCTCTGAAGAATTTCTGGTCAGATTCTATGATGGTGTTAAGTATATGAAGAAAGTGTTTTATGTGAATGAACCGTAGAGTTGTAGCTGTTTTTTCTTTTTGAATGCTTCATACAGAACCTTATCTTTTATTAATTTTCCCTATTTATTTAGGAGCTAAAGAATGCAGAAATAGCTTTACGAACACAGAAAACTCCTCCTGGTCTCCAGCATGAAAATACAGCCCCAGCAGAGTGAGTTACTGTTATTCATAAAAAATAGTCAATAATATGACTTGGAGAAGAGAAGACTCCAGGGAGACCTTACTGCAGCCTTTCAGTACTTAAAAGGGGCTTATAAGGAAGATGGGGAGAAACTTTTTAGTAGGGCCTGTAGCAAATAGGACAAGGGATAATGATTTTAAACTGAAAGAGTAGATTCAGGCTAGATATAAGGAAGAAATCTTTTACGATGAGGGTGGTGAAACACTGGACCAAGTTGCCCAGAGAGGTAGATGCCCTATCCCTGGTAACATTAAAGATCAGGTTGGATGGGGCTCTGAGCAGCTTGATCTAGTTAAAGATGCCCCTGCTTATTGCAGGGGGGGGTGGACTAGATGACCTTAAATGTTCCTTCCAATGCAAACTATTTTATGATTCTATGGACTTCATAATATGAATTTTTTTTCTGCTTCTTGTAGCATTTGTACTGAATGCTTCATAGAATCAGTGTTTTATTTTTACACTTAATTTATCTTTATCTCATAGACATGAGAAATACAGTCTTTACTCTCCACAAGTAGAGGGACATCAAGAATGTCATAGAACATAACTGTTGCAATTAATTAAATGAAAATTGGGAGCTAATACAGATGAGATTAAAAAAAATAGGGGCAGACTAGTGAAGTTTAATCATATGATTTCATTGTTTTACTCCTATAGCTACTTCAGAATCTTGGTTGAGCAGTTTGAAGTACAGCTGCAGCAATACAGGCAACAAATAGAAGAGCTAGAAAATCATCTTGCTACTCAAGCAAATAATTCACACATAACTCCACAAGGTAAATGTTTCAATTTCAATGTTTCATACATAAAAATTAAAAAATCTTATAGCTATAAGAAAAACTTAGTATTTAATCTCCTCCTTTGTTGTTATTGGCTTTTCTTGTTTAATATACGGAAATAAGTGTTCAGATAGATTCTGCAGTTGTTCAATGTAAAGATTTGGAATTAAAGGTTAAATTCATAAAGGTTCTTGTGCTTTTTAAGATGGATCCAGTTCCTGAGGTGCAATTTGTAAGCCTAGTTTGTTTTTGACTGCGGCTGCATCCATCTCCTTCCATTGAGCATCTAGCTCATATAAGGCTGATGTCTGGTACCTTCTGTCTTGCACTGGGCTGTGTGACCAGACAAACACGGGTGTCTGCTCTGCCAGCTCCAAATCAAAATGGGAACTTTTCCTTAGTTTGGAGCCTGTTGATACTGCCTTCAGCTCTGACAGACTGAGAAAATTTAGTCTTGTTTGCTGCCACATCATTCAATCTTGGGAGAATCTCTCTGGTCAGAGAATACTGACCTCTGGACAGTAGTCTTCTGGTTGGCCACCATTGCTGTGATCGTAGACATTTTTATCTTTTGGGCTGCTTTAGTTACAGGTCCTGCGATAAGTAGTGATTTCAAGTGCATGTCTTTTTGTGCCACATGATACTTGAACATCTTGCCATCACAGGATGGTACCTAGACTCTGGACCTTATGTCAAAAACAAGAGAACTGTCTAGACCTAGCTTCCAGAATGGAAGATCTGCTGAATCCTGAGGGTCCTCTATCTTTCCATGTGTTCTTCTTGTCTGTCCAGAGTAGGAGAGGGATGCCTTCACAGATTTTCCTTAGGTTTTTCAGCAGTTTCTGCTATTATCTAAAGGTTCTTTGCTTGTGTGGGCAAGGCTTAATCTGTTGTGCCACCATGCTCAGACTGTCAGCAAATGATCTGGTGATCTAGTCGACACTGTATTGCATATGTAGCCTTTACCATACAGGAAACCATGACCCAGAATGTCTTGAAAACTTTCAAATGTCTAGTATTCAGTATCAATAAATTGCCTCTAGATAGTTTGGAAACTTGTGGCCAGTCTTCCTAGATACCGCTGCCTCCACAACCCTGCAGGTTGGCATGAGATTTGTTCCCCAGCTTTTCTTTTTCAGAAAGAAATGCAAATTATAATGGAGAAATTCCCCTATGGAGAGACAGACCTTTTCAGTTCAAGAATCATTGCTAGACCTACACATCTTGAAGAACTTGATAGCTACTATTTGCCCAGATTCAGTAGGTTATATGCATCCTTCAAGGAAGTGCAGAAGCTGATCTTTTCACAGTGAAAGACCACTTCGCTTTTGTTGTCCACTTTGGTACATTGTTTCAGTGCTTCTTTCGGAAAAGCGTTTTTTTGTCAGCAGATGTTTCATTTTGCCAAAACCTTTGAGATTTCCCCTTTAATGCTAAAGTTTTGCATTAGTTGGGTCAGTGCACTGAAAACACTTTCATATCTATGTGGGAAGTAGGATGTCCTAAATCTAAGACTTTATGTAGGCAAGAAGCTCCCCATTGTGTTTATGATATGCTTGTGGGTAGAGCTAGAATAGGAGTTCCTGTGGTGCTTGTTAAGCATGTCTTTAAAATATAAGTAAAGCTTACATTCTACTGCGGTCTCTTTGGCAAAATCAACTGAACACTTAACTGTGCTTTAAGTCAGAAAGAGTGGAAAATATATACAAATACAAGAAAACCTGATGTAACTATTTTATGTAAAAACCAATGTGGTAGAATGTTCCTATGTAATTAGATAAAGTTAAGTTAAATAAAATTTTTTAGCTTTGCTAAATGAGAGAATCATAGGAAATGAATTACCATGCGTATAAAAATAAATCTGATGAAAGAATACTTTCCAAAATACAGTTTGAAGCCCTATCAAAAGTAGTCCTTGGGTGACTTGTGGCACCCAATTGCTATCAGATTCTGTATTTCCTATAGACATTAACTTGTTCTCATGCAATTTTTTTTGTGCTTTGTGCTGTATGGGTTTTGGGTGGGCTTCTTGCTGTGATATAAACACTAAATCTTTTCTCCTGGTAGTAAGATTGTCACTCACCAATATTTTATATGCCCCTTACAGATTTGTCTATGGCTATGCAGAAAATCTATCAAACATTTGTAGCTTTAGCTGCACAACTTCAATCAATACATGAAAATGTAAAGGTATGTTGTTTTGACGTGTTCCTGTGTATTTAGTGAAAGAACTACAAAGAATCACTTTCTGAAAATATAATATATCTTCAGGTATTCTTTTTTTTTCCTTCTGAAAATTTTTAATAGCAGTTATTTTAACAAACTGTCCTGGAGAAGTGCTTTGATTAAAAAAGTGACTCCACAGTCATTTACGTTACAAAATGTTTTTCTTTTAACTCTTTTTCGTTTTTAATTGTTGATCAATTTTTGAAATGTCTGTCTTTGAGCTCATGCTTCTATGTTTTGCTTTTTGCCCAATGACCTCTTGATCTCGAGCGAAGATGATATAAATCTGCTCTTACTCAAATAGGTAACAGGAAAAAAAGTAGGTATTCATGTGTAAGATCTTTCAACATAGCAAAGAATTTTGGTGAAAATTGTGTTCTGGCTTGTTTAATTTTGTTCAACCTGGTTTTGTGGAAAGTCATATATAGAGAGAAAAAAAAAGGCTACTGTTAAAAAATGCTAATGTATCAAAGGTCCTAGTTAAGCTTGTTTTTTCCATCACGGACTCTGGCTGGAATTTCCCATTTACAGTTCTGGACATACTGACAAAATGTGAATGTTCTACAATCCATAATTTTTCTTGAGATCATCAGAATCCTTCTTGGTTACAAAAAAAAAAACCTTGGAGAAGAGTACAAGTGTTTGGGATTGTTTCTGCTAAGTGACTTCCTTAACAGGAATACCTCTGGTAAATCTTCTGCTTGTTTCCTTCTCAAAGCTTCTTCTGCACAGTATTGCTAGTTCTCCAAACATCTGAAACTTTTTACTTGATACTGAGGATCTTGTATGATCTAGATTCCTTGCATTGCATTACTTTTGTCAGCAAGGATATTCACTGGTTTACAGCTACCTGCCATCAGATATTTATGCTGCTCTTAGTTAACTGAGTTTTGGTATAGAATATATCAGCTCCTCTGTAATTTCAGCAGAATTACATGAAAAGGATCCCAAATGTGTTCTGGACTATTTGCTTCTGAGATCTGACTGTAGCCTGAACTTATGCAGTGGTCTTTGTGGTGACGCATTTTTGTTCCTCTTCAGTATGAGAGCTGGGTTAGTACACAAGGATAAGCAATAGCATCTTCAGTACCTTGTCAGCATGACTGAATAGGAAAGGCTTTACTTCAGCTTAAGTATTCTATTGCTTGAAACTAAGGGGCTGGTTTGAGGATTTTTCTTTGGCGGGGGGGGAATTTTTTTGAGATTTAATCTAGTGGGTGGACATGAAGGCTGATATTTTGGAAGACACAATTATAACTAAAACTTAAAAATCACAAAAATGGATGTACTGCTTAAGTGGATCTGTCATTCTGACCATCTGTTTTAGTTTTTCAGCTAGGAGAGGAGAGCAGTTTTGAAACTCCTGTCTCTGCCTTATGGTTTGTGAAGGCAGAGCTGTGACTGCAGTTCATTCCTTTGTCTGAAGTAGGCTTTCTGGTTTGCACATACACTTTGATTCAAAGGTCTGAAGTTGTAGAAAAATATGGCCTAAAACATCTTTGCACAGGGCTAGTTGTTAAATATATTTACATCATCTGTGAACATATAGATGTATTCTGTATCCAAGGTCAGTGAAGAGTAAAATGTGCTTGGGCACAATTCAAGTAGAGAATGTCATTAAATCATTCTGCACAGATTAGCCTTAAGAGCTGTTCTACAATGTCTAATGGCATTTGTCAGCTCCTATGGCAGTCAGCATGTCATTGTATTAAATCTCATCAGAGTTCTACAAATGTCTCTTCTCTCCAAAGACAGCACTCTTGATGTGACAGTGAGGTCATTCTTTCTGTGTTTCCTGCTGTTACTGATAGATTTAGAATTACAGCTGTTCAAATCCCGAGTCAGAATTTTTGGACTGTAAGCTCCTCTTCTTGGAAACAAGCATATCATTAGCCAGGAACACAGGACATAATACGCCTTCCATAAAATTCGATTGAACCTACTGTTCTTTGGTTTTAATAAATCTTTTACATTTAAAGATTTTCTGTTAGAAGATGGAAATAATTCTATCAGTTCTTTAATTGAAGCAATTTATTCTTTTTATGTTACCTAAGATATCCATAGTTCCCTCATCTGTGACAGGTAGAAGTGGCTCATGATGAACAGGCCGCGCCAGGTGTTGCCATAGAAGGTGGGGTTTTGAGGGAGGAAAGGGCATGGACAAGGGGAGGGGGATCACGACACAACAAATTTGGGCTACTTGTTAGTCTAAAGCAGAATGATCTATTGCATTTGCACTGCATTATATAGTTGATGAAATGCATCAGAAACAAGAGTGAATTCTAAAATTCTAGTAGGTTCTTTAGCTTTGTGCTAAGAAAGGCAAGCAAGAGTGAAAGGAAGGAAGGCAAGAGAGGTGAAGGTAATAGGGGAGCAAAAGCAGACTCCATGCAGAAAGGGTAGCACTGAAGAAGAGCATATTGCTTTTGTTACAAGCTAGTAATATGGCTGTATTTTGCCTTTTGGGTCTGCTAGTACAGTGATACAAATTGAATTGTTCTGGCTGTAGCTGATGTAAAACAATTCTTTCCAGCTTATACCCTGACTAGACCCTTTCAGGTTGTGGGAGGCTTTTTTTTTTTTTAAATGTTATTTATAACTCAGTATCTCTTTCCTTATTAAGTTAAGGTTTTATGTCAAATGCACTGAACTAAAATGGCTTCCCCCCACCCTCTTCAGATGCTCAAAGACCAATACCTTGGCTACAGGAAAACCTTTCTGGGAGATGCCATGGATGTGTTTGAGGCAAGACGAACGGAAGCTAAGAAGTGGCAGAGCGCGCCACGTGTTACCACTGGACCGACCCCTTTCAGCAACATACCAAATGCAGCAGCCGTTGCGATGGCTGCAACACTTACTCAGCAGCAACAGCCTGCTACAGGTCTGAGTGCATTCAAGTTATAGATTATTAGTGTTACGACAATAGTAAATTTGTGTAAAATTTTCTATGAGGTCTTCCTTTGTGTTAGACTAAAAATCTAAACATTGTGATGAGCAAAGTTACTGATACATAGCCAATAGAAAAATGCAGGGTAGACTTAGCAATAATTATACAACAGATACTTAATCTTGTGAATTTACTTGTATTAGTGATATTTACTGTGTTGTTCGAACTTACCCCTTGGAATGTGAGTCTTCACTCTTAAGTAACATCTCTGAATACACATAGTATAGCCTCTTTCCAGAATTGTATGGTTATAGTAAATTATTGCAAATCGGTGAGGAGAGAATATCTAAATGCATATTACCTTTTCTTATGTAAAATTAATATTGCATTTTTATATAGCACTTTGGAACTGTAAAATGAAAAATGCTGTAGAACAGGAAGGATAGTGGAGCAAACATCTGTAGAATAGGAAGACGGATGCCTGGCTTATTATTTTATAGCCAACTCCTTTGTCAGGGTGATGTTGAGGAGTTTTTGCTAGCCATTCTGCTGTTGCGGATAAATATTAGAGAATGTAGAGTGGATCAGTGGTTCTGTGTATGCATGTGTGTTAAGAGGAAGGCCAAAACAGAGGAAATGCATGACCCACTACTAATGAAGAATAAATATGTATGGCAAAGGAAATAACTTAAGGCACCTTAGTTAACATTGTTATACTAACCAACACTTCTCAGAGAGGGATTCCTGAATGTAGAGAATGGAATTAATATTTAATCATTTAACAGAAATAAGATAAATTCCATTTAATTTTACTTGAACATGGATATGTGTCTGTCAGCAAATTATGAAAATCATAGGTAACTTCATTCTACCATTTTTCTAAAATGTTGTTCATAGTAGGTGTACTGAAAGTCATATTAGCACCTTTTCCTTGTCTTGTCTTATAATAGCCGTCATATTTTCAATGGTTTTTAATTAGAGACCTATGCAGCGACCACCCTAAGTTTGACAAATTAATAGACTGTCCTTGCCATCTCCATAAAAGGAAAATAAAATGTGCTTCCAGCCCTGGCCTTTATAAACAGCAAGGAGATGGGTTTAAAAGACAAATACACCAAAATATTTTCAACACAATGAATGAAGTCTTTATGAAATATTTCTTTTCTAAATTTCCATCATAGACCACAGTCTTCCCATTGCTGCTATGTTAATCCATGGAAATTTGGTTGAAGTAACATCTGCAAAAGAGTCTGGTTTTAAACAGAAAACACGAGATAATGTAACGTCATGCTTCAGGATTTTTAATGCAGATAGAAGTTGGCTTGTGCAACCTAATGTTGCTAGAGTAGTTCCCTCTCCCTTCATCTTCCTCCTTGTCTCATGGTTTTTTAAAATACTCTCCACGGTCATTACTGGATTAGTTGTGTATGAAAGTCATATACTTGGGATGCCACGTTTAAAGTTACACCTGCATTTTTGTGAATTGGGGTGAGGGATTTGAACTTCTCCTTCCTAGTCCAGATTCAAGAAAACTGCTAATAACTTCAGTAAATTGATGCCATTTATGGCATGACTTTGTGAATATTCTCTAAGGGGTAGGAGTTGAAGAGAGGAGAAAAAAAAAAAGGCAAAATTGATCTGTACCAACACACTTGATGTAAGGTCACTTTATACCTTGAGGTATTTGTAACATTTTGTAGTGAAAGGAGCAAATGGGAGTCAATGTAGGTTGGTTTTGAGGTTGGGTTTGGGGTTTTTTTGGTTGGTTGTTTTGGTAGAGTATTTCAAAAGCCAAAAATGTGCCAACTACAAGAGTGATGCAGACAGAACAAAGCCATTAACTTATGTCAAACATGCCAACAAAAGTAGACAACAATTTGTTTACTACTTATTCAGTTGGAATACTGTTACCCTCCATGCAACTCACCTGATGATGTAGAGAAACAGAGGTAGATTGACGTTTTGAGTGGCCCTTCAAGAGTACTTAAAACTTAGAAAATGGAACTTGAAGTCATCTTTTCTGTTCCTCTAGCTCAAAAACAGGACTAGTCAGGCCTGACCTATTTCAGAGATATCTTAAAGTCTTAAAAGCTTGCTAGAAAGGAGAGTTTCACAGCTTTCCTAGATTACTGATTTCAGTGCTTGACTTTTTCCCAACAATTTACCTAAAACTTCTTAGCTTCAGATTAAGGCTGCCACTTTTTGTCTTACTCTTAGTAGAACAGGAAAAGAATTTATTCTTGCAGTTTTGCAGGAATCTTTAAATATTTAAAGACTGCCTCCTCTTCATTTCCTTTTCCTTGTTGGAGTTTTCAAATGGCCATTTGCTGCAGTAAAACTGCAAATGTTTGCATGTTTTAACTTTATTATGAATTTGATAAACTATCTGCTATAAGTTAAAATAGCATGTATTTCTTTGTAAGATCTAGATCCTGAAGTGTGGGATAGATGAGGAGTGGTAGAAGATTATGACAGAAAAGACTATGAAATGAGGTGTATGCTAAGGGAGGGAGAGGGTGTCTGTGTAATACCTGACCTGCTGTTGCTGTTCTTGAAGATAAGAATAAACCAAGGAAATTAATCTGGGCTTTAAAGTTTTTGACTAAAATCTAATCTACGGTACTCTAGTATTGAGGGATCAGGATGGTTAGTGTCTTTTTAAAATAAAAAATATTGATGTTTACATGGTTAAGTCTATTTCATAAGATTAATTTAGAGTTAGTTACTGTTCTTTCTCTGAAAAAGATAGATAATTTATTTTAAATTTGTGTTCAGAAGTTAAAAGTTTAGTAGCTACATCTAAGCTGTGGGATCAGGGAATGTTTCCCCAGTTCCTGGGTGTAGATATGCACCCTATTTATGTTCTCTCTGTGTGCCAAGACATGTCTGGCTTCTATTGAACTAAGTCAAGCCAGTGGATCCTGGCCATATGGAAGAAAGGGAGCAAAGATGCACTCCGCTGGTCTCCTGGGATGGATAATCAGGACACCAGGACTGTGGCGTGCACACTGAAGCACGATTTTTGTGCTGTTTTTTGAAGCTAGAGTTACTAAAATTATGCTTAAGTCTTGCCTGCACACAACTTTTCTCCCTAGTTTAGCACTTTTGCTCTGAGCATAGCTTTATTGGTAGCAGTGAGGCTGGTCATGCTTTTGTGCAGTAGCAGCTAGAGTTTTAACCACTGCCTCACCTGCACCCTCCCTGAGCAATCTTGAACAGCATGGAAGTTAAAATGATGGTGGCTAGTCTACCTGTTACTATTGATAGGACTAAAGTAAAAGATTTTGAAGGAAATCAAAGCCTAGTGAACTAAGAGCTGTAAATGCATGAGGCTGTTTTTCTGGTAAGACTAAGTTGTCTTAAAGAAATGCTTTTATTCAAGCTCACCTTTCCTCCTCTAAAAATAAAGTACCCTCCCAAAAACTTAGTTACTCTCTCCTTAACTGGTGAAGTGCAGAGTTAGTCAAAGCATTATCGAGCTATTAGCACACTCTATGTTTTGGCTTGACTCGGTATGAGACTGAAGTGCTTATGAGAAAGGATACTGAAATCTTTATAGCACTTAAAATTTTTATTGTGTAATTTGATATCAACCTTGGTTAAAATTAGTGTATTATTTTGTCAGAATCAGATCTAAGTTGTGACACTAAATTTGTTCACTGTTAGGACCAGCTGTGATTTAAAAAATTGCAGAATGTCACTTTAGGAAATCTGGCTGACCTGTGTGGACTCTTTGTAGTGGGTCCTATTCATTAAACTGAAAAGCTCTACAGGGCAAGTATATCAGGTTTTAAAATGTTAAAATACTTGTTATAAAGAATTTGTCTTGTACCTATAATAGCCAGAAGTGCCAATTTTTTGCTAGTACTTTTGGCATTGAAGAATCTTTTATTACTAGGTTTTTGCTATTGAAAATTATGTTTACTTACAAGAACTGTAAGTAGTGATGATGCCTTCAGAACATTATGGTACAAAATCAACAAATATCATATGCTGTTGCTCAATGAAAAGCTTGTTAGCCTAAGGCATAAGATCCTGTTTTATATAATCTGAGGTGTTTTAGAATAATGTTTTTTTACTGGTTCTAAAAAGCATGTTGCATTTGGTAAAAAGCTTAGCCTGGAGGACTGTAGTGTTTTGTTTTAATGTCTTCCACTAACAGTGCCTCCTACTGAGATAGAAACCTGTGCACTTGAGAAGGGACTGGATATGTGTTTTGGAGTTCTTTTAGTTTATTAGATGACTAACTTGTGTAGGTTTTTTTGTTTCTTTTTATTGATAACAGTTTTCTTATTTTTAAAGAGCTGCTAGGTAGATGTATCATTATTTAAACTGGATGTAAACAAGTTTAGTTTGAAATTTATGTGAAAATTTGTCATTATAACATCTGATATACTTTTTTTTTTAGTTGAAAAAATAGCTTGGTTTTTCCAACTATTCCCTGCTAAGCAGAGACTGAAAGCTAACAACTTTTAGTTGCCCTTAAAATCTAGTTTAACACTACTTTGAGTATACAGATGTCATTCAGCTTGGATCACATAAGAATTTTGTGTTCCTAGCAAAAATGTTACTTTTCAATATACAGTGCCTTTCACTTGATTCAGAATGATTTTCCATTTAAATCTTCAAATGCTGAAATGATTTTAAAAGCTTGAAATATTTACATTTTAAAACTCTAGATAAATATTAGTAGCAGGAAACTTTGTAGTATAAAGAAGGAGGTTTTGAATGAAAATAAGCCCAAGTGTGATAATGGTTTAGGAAAAAGACTGAAATCATCTGAGCTTGTATAGTAATATTTGAATAAATCATCATTTTCATTGATATAGTACATAAAGTACGTTCAAAGATGGAGAAGGCTACCTTGAGGAAAGGTGTGAATGTCTGTGGATTAAGAGTTTGGCACTGTATTTTATCTTCAATGGTTAAAATTTTAAACTAGTGCACTGAAAACTGTTTGAAAAAGACAGGAGTATAAGATTGTACTGTGAAAACTGTCTAAATAAATTAATTATTTATCAGAATTATTTTAAAATGTGTTAGTAATGGGCTAGCAAGTTGATTCTTTATTTCCCAAGGTTAAGGGCGGGGGGAGGAACTGAGGCTGTAAATTTCATCTTGGCAGACTGAAAATGTTTTTTGACAGTCCTGCATCTTAGTGTGAATATGCAGGGAAAGTACTGTCAACTTTTTTTTTTAATTATGGGACAAACTCTGACTCTGAAATTTTGAATGTATCTAATTCATTAAGGTACACAGAACTGTGCCTTTTGTAAATGTTTATTTAAACAGGTGGTTTGACTAGTTTACCTTATTGAATGGTGTTATGTAGCAGAGCTTCAAAGATCTCAGTTATCACTTGTGTGGAAAAGAATTGAATTGTCATGTTACTATGTAATTGACTTGCTTAAAAATGAACAATAAATTTAATAAAATAAAGTCATTGTCTTGTTTTTTATCTTAGTGTTCTGTTTAAATTTGGATGGAATACTTGACTAGTTTTGAAGATTCTGATTTATTAAATTAACTTTTTAATATAGTTTTAGTTACATTAGTGTCAGTGCTCATGTTTTTAATTTGAAGGTTTTTCCCTCATTCTGATTCCATTAATACAGGTGGCAAAATGTTGGTACCTATGAGTACTCTCAAGGTTTTGATTAATGTTTTAAAGTGTAAGGTGAGACTGGTGAACTTTTAAAAATAATAAATGGTGTTGTTATGTTACTAGCTTTGACTAGTTTCACCTTATTACAATCAGTGTTTTCTTAGATTTTTTTTTTTTTACTAGGTGGATGTAGAGGCAGTCAGTTAAGTGAGGAATTTTGATGAGGTAAAGTTTGGGATCTTAATGGGATTTGTTGAAAGCAATGATGTTCACATTATCAAATACTTGAATAAATAAATAAAGGACCTCTTTACTATGAAAGAGTAAGGCAAGTTTGTTCTCATTTTTTTTATACCAGGGCCACAGCCATCTCTGGGAGTTAGTTTTGGAACGCCATTCGGCTCAGGTATTGGCACTGGCTTGCAATCAAGTGGCTTAGGTTCTTCAAGCCTTGGAGGTACACTTTAACTTTTCTAATCTTTCATTTAATTATTATACCGCACATCTTAATCTCTTGCAAACCTTTAACTCCCTAAGAGGATGATCTTTTTCAGGGAAGGACCTTGCAAACTGGCAGTCTGTGCTTTCCAAACTTCTTCATGTCTTGCAGAAGGAGTTGCTAAGGCTAATACTAAGACTAATAAGCCATTGTAGTGAAAAACCAGGATGAATTAATCACATAGAAGTTCTGTTCTTAAACCTAGGGAAGTACATCAAGTACATACTTTTGTAACTACAACTTGACTTAATTTTATGTATATGAAAGTTAGGCATCTGAGACATTGGATCATGCCGTAGCTAATCCATAGAAGTTTTTCACCTTTATGTACAACTCTTAACTATAGGGATCCATTACTGCTTGGATTAAGATAAGAATAAATGCTAAAAAATTACTACAATTCTGGGATCCTGCTTGCTGAAACATACTTGCTTTAGCTGTCACTCTGTCCCTCAGTGCTGAGGTGGAAAAAAAAAAAATTCCCTCTTCAAACTGAAAAAGCAACATTCGAAGGTGAGGGAAAAATACTTATCAAAATGTTAATAGTGCTGGTGGGAAATGTATTCCAAGAGGACGCGTGACTGTGAAAGAGTAGGTGGTAATAAAGATTATAAAATTCATATAGACCTTTCCATTTAAATGTAATGAATTCTCAGTAGTAGAACTACAAGTAGAATCTAATCTGCATGTAAATTTCCTATCTGTATAGGTCAGGGGTTCCTGTTCCTACAGCACAACTCAAAAGACACTAGTGTCCTCTGAAGCTTTTGTATGAGATCTGCAAAGAAAATTATTACACCTGCTGAGCACAGACATAATGTGTTGTGGTTTTTCTTGTTACATCCTCTCCTCTCTGCCACCTCAGTCTGCATCCCTACATTTTGCCTCTTTGAGCCAAACACACGAATCGGTGTTGTATTTAAAATGATTAAATATCACTCGGTATTGGAAAGATGATGTAACTTGAACGTTGCATCAATTTTACCTTAAATTATCATCTTGAAGTTATCTTTAAATCTACCAATGTTCTTTCTCATCAGATTTTAAGCTTTTTCAGATACAAGAAAGTATGTACATCTAAACAGGAAAAATAACTGAGAATGGTGGGCTAAAAGGAAAGTACTTCTGAATTACCAGGTTGTTCCCACAATGTTTTAAATGCCTTAAAAAAAACCATAAAATTCTTCCTTTTCAACCAAAGAGGTTGTAGACTACAGATTGTATATCTGTGTTCACCAATCTTGCCTATGTAAATTAAAGTACATTTTCTTTTAAATTGGTGGACAACTGCTTCTAGTTTTGTCTTAGAGGCCTAACTTGTATTCTTTTTTTGCTAGTTCTCTGCTTAGAAGGGCATTTGCTTGCACTTCATCTATTCTGTATTAATTTGCAAAATTTTCATCTTTTGACAAATCAAGACTTGTCTGATAGAAGCAAATGTAGAAGAATAAAGGAATACATGCAAAATGTCCTGCAGGTGGCTCTTGGAAACATATTAGCAGAATGAATACTGAAGGGTTTTTTTGTTTATTTTTTTTAATCTTAGGGGGTTTTTTTGAACAGGACAATTTTTAATGTATAGTCTTGAAACATCATTTTAATTGGGGAAATTTGCTTTCTTTCAATGATAAATATTCTGTCAATTTTGTCAGTGATAAACATAGAGGCTCTTGCATTTTAAGTATATAAGATACATAGCATAGGGATGCTATGCTTCATTAAATATTTGCAGACACCTTGCCTGATCATTGGTAATTCATTTCAAACTAGATAGGACAGAAGATAGGACTTCAGATAGTGTGTTCAATCCTTACTAGTTTTAAAATCTAAAAATTATTTCTGTAAAGGAATGGTGAAGGCTCAATTTGCAGTAAAATGCAAGTATTTCCCTGACACTTGAAACTTCAGATGGGGGCATAAATTCCTCAAATACAAATACTCTTCTCTTTTGGAAACCTCTGGAGACAGCCAAAATCACAGAATGTATTTCTCTTACTGTTCCTATTGTCTGGCCTCTATCTCAAACTGCAAATATCAACTTACTTTTTCCTTTGAAGCGATCTCGTATTAATAACACAATTTGAAATCTTGAAATATTTATATTATGAAATTAAAAATGTCAATTACAGAATTAACAGAATGAGTTTTATTACAGCTATATGTTTATGGCTGCCCTTTATACAATGATTTCTCCCATTAAATATTGTGAAATTCTATTTCTATTCTGTATTGAACCTATTTTGTGGTTTCCTAGATAAAGCTGATCCCCCATAACCTGGGAGGGGGACGACTCTAAAATAAGCCAAATGTAAACTCAAGAAAATGTTTACTCAGAGAACTTTTCCTTGAGTTGTGAATGAACACTGCGGCTTTCTGTAATAGAAGTCGTATAACGTGTCTGAATTTTCTTAGTTTTGGCCCATTTGTTTACCATTTTCTTGCCAATTTAACAGCCATTCAACAGCAATTTTGTAAACTCTGATAGTTTAATTCACCTGTTCTTATATCTTTTCCTTTACTCAGTATTGTATTTTGAAGGAAGTATTTTTCTCCAATGCTTTCCTGTTTGCAGTTTTCTTAACTCAATGCTGTGTTGAGAATAAAACACTCTTGAGAAATAATCCTAGGAACATTTGTTTACCAAATAATGCTTAGAATTATGTTTGGGTTTAGAATACTAGCCCAAAACCTATGTGTCTTTAATTGCTGTGTCTGTAATTTTTTTTGTTGTATGTCTTTACTATTATTCTACTAGGATTTGGAAGTAGCTCTGCCTTTGGAAGTAGTGCCACAGGGGCATCATCGTTTGGGTTTGGAACTACAAGTAAACCATCAGGAAGTCTAAGTGCAGGTTGGTTTGTTTCTCTTGAATTCAAGTTTATCTTAAAGCAAAAGTATTATAATCAAACTGCTGCCCTCAGTCTAAGAAAGCTACTGAACAAATGTGCTTAAAGTTGCATGTGTATATAACGATTAAAGTAACTATTTACTTGCTAAATACACACTTTCAGAGAAGTTCTTAGGTTCTGTTAAAGGTCTCCTAGGTAGACAGTGTTGAGTGAGCATTAATCTTTTCTGTTTGATGGTGTCTATCTAATTAGGAGTGGAAACAGGAGATCAGATGCATCAGATTGGATCAGATGCAGCCTGAGGCACAGAAATGCAGTTACTACTTGAATGCATAGTCTATACAGTTACCGAGCTACTGAAATTAGTGTATAAATTTGTGACAAATGTACCAGCAATTTGACTTCCTGTATTTAGAAGTAAAGTTTAAATTATTTATTAGAAGCCCAGAATGTTTCCTTAAAACCGTTTATTTGCTTATCCTTTCTATTTGAATAGTAAGTTATAGATATTGTATGTCTGCATATATCCATAATTGATTGTGTTAACTACTTTGAAAACATTTCTGTGGCAATTAAACTACTCAGTACTAATTTCACTTTTTTTGATTTAGTTTTGGTGGTGGTGAGAAAATGAAAATATGGATGCAATTGCTTCTTAACTCAGATGTTTGATATCTTAGTCACTTCTATAGCTTGCATGTCTAATTGCTTTTTAAATAGGAGTTTGTTTTTGAGGCAAACAGTTTACTATAGTCTGTTTTACAGTCTTTCTTCAATGACAGGTTGAAGGAGTATTATGTCTCCTGGGATTGGCTTTTGGTAGCATGTTTCTCTTTTAAAAGCAAAATGTTTTTTTAACTGCTACTAATACAAACATACCAAGTGGCTGGTATTTATTAGCAAGTGTCCAGTACATTAGCTTGGACCACTGTCTTGTTAGTTGCCATGCTTTTCATTTTGTTTTGGTTTTAACTTGGTTAGTGATGGGTTGTACTGTCAAATTAGGCCTGTAAAGTACCTTAAGCTTTGTATTATACGGTGGAAATAGCTCACTAAGCTGTCTGTCTAACACTCATGAATGTGTAACACCCTTGTAAATTCTTGATCGAACATGTGATTTTGCAGTATGCTGTGTCTAAGCATCAACCTTCTTTTGTTAGTTTTTAATATCATAAACAAGTGGAAAACTTACACTGTTTATGTTTTTATCTTGTAGCTTATTTTTCCTGAGCCTATATTAAATTACCTATTATTAATATTTATATAAATAGTATTCCAGCATTTCAAGGTGCTAAGTTGCAAACTACATAATTTAGTTTTTAGTGTATTAAAATACGTAATTCGAAAACTAGTAGTATGGATCAGTTGTCCACCACTAATAAGGTATCAAGCCAAAGCAAGTCTGTCTTAGCTATGTTGGTGGCGTGCAGAGACAATTTAGATGTCGTTTCACTGCATTCCTCAGAACAGGCTTTGTCATGGTGGCAGTGCACCCAGTCTCTCTTTAGCAGTAAGAGAGTTGGACCTAATAAAATGAAGATTGTTTTCAGTTATCTCAAGAGTCTCGGCTGCAGAAGGTGGTAACCAGGAATATAAGAGATTAAATGTAATTCCCATCATTTTGTGCTTATAAAATAAAGCAGTCGTGAAATCCTGATCTAGACTGGGATTATGGAATAGAAACCTCTATAAAAATTTGGTAGCCCAGAAGCACATTAACATTTACATTTTTATATCTGAAATCCTATGCTGTATAGCTTCTGGATTGTATATGATCTTTAGTTTAATTTTATTGAGGGTGTATAAATGGGTTTGAATGATGCCCGAGGCTAGCCAGATTATATATTTTTTTAATTTTAATATGTCCTGTTTCTTAGATAACATTTACAGGATCCTGAAAAAATATTATGGTTTATATTAGTTATATCTTGTTTCTGAATCTTTTTCTTTTGAAAAAGCTAGGAAAAGGGGGTGAATATGGCTTATGGGGTATAGTGTTGTTATCGCTTGTGTTTAGATGCGAGTGCTTAAGTATTTTCCGAAACTAATGTCTAGTAAGTGTTCCATCAGCCTGTCCTTCTAGGCTGCTTAGGTAATGCCCCAAGTCTCCTCCACGTGTTTTCAATCAGTTTGTTGTTATTTTAGAATGAAAATTATAGATTCCCAAATTGCTTCTGTCAAGTGTTTGTAAGTTATGAGTTAGATTTAATTGCTTTAAAAGATTTGAAAATGTTTCTAGTAGTAATACTGCTCTTCTCAATTTCAGTTTGTATGTTTGAAGAGAAAATTTTGAGTCCTCTGAGTGTACTTTAGCATCTTCTAATAGTAAATTGGGCTTAGTCCAGGAGCATTCATTGTGTCTGTGTCAGTAGACAAAAAGCTGAGCAACTGCAGTCTTCTCTCAATTTCTTTAGTGCGCACAATTGCGAGATGAAACAAGTGTCTCAGACTTCCCTCTGAAACACACAGACATTGTGGAATGCTGACTACAAATCAAGTCTCAATTCCTAATCTTATTCATTTGATGGCAACCGAAAAGGCTGATGTGAGTGGGATGTTGTAGAAAGCATTAAGACTCCCAAAGTGATGGCAAAAAGGGAAAAAAAATCACCACTGAATTTATAGATACAATGTTAAGGGGGGTGTGTACACACACACTATTTTTGTGGAAACTGAGATGCTAAATAGGCTTTGAAGAGCTGAGCTGAGAATTTGTGTTGGAGACTTACAGGAGAATAGCAACCTCAGTACATGGGATAAGAGATACTCAAGTGGGATTGTGGCTGGACATACTCATACTGCTGAAAAACAGACCTGAATATAATCCATGTGTAACTATGAGCAGCTTTCAGATACGGAGGCTAATAGTACATTAGTCAAAGCTGTGCTGGAAATTCTTTTTGATCTAGAGCACCTATTGTAGGGATGAGGGCAGGAATAGATTGCCTTTGAGATCTGCTGAACTGCTGTTTATCCCTGTAGCATTAAAACAAAAAAAAAAACCTGTTACAGGGAGGTGTGTACCTCATGTTTGGCTTACCTATCTAAAGAGCTGACTGAAGCAGAGATGCAAAAAGCCCAAGGAATAAAGTGTACTCTGAGGTCCTTCAGGGGGATGCTAATTCTGTGCCCTCGAAGGGCAGGTTGTCATTTACTTTCTGAAAATAATTGTTTACACATAAGTAATACTAATTTCAACAAAGAAATCGTTGATCACGTTGTAGCTATGGTTCAAGACTTTGTGACTCTTCTGTCTAGAACTGAGCTATTCCGTGATTGATTTTCTTTCTTTGCAACAGGAATAAGACTGAATGTATACCTCGTTCAAGGTTTTTTCCTGAACATTTACTCTGCTTTAGGGTTTGGTTTACTTTTAAGAACTTCGTACCATGGCCTTGTTATGCTGCCATGATGGACAAAGCCATTTAGATGAATTTCCCTTCTGCCTTTCTACGCTTTTGTGGCTGCCCTAAATGGCACTTCTGACATAACAGCTATTACTTTCCAAGTTATATCTAAATTAACAAGTATGTTCTCAGTCTTCTATCACACAGTTTATACATCTGTTTCTTATTCTAACATTACTCAAATAAAGCTCAGGCTGCCTTATCTGCGTGCTTCAGAATAATCCCTGCATCTAGAAGCAGCTAGGAGGAGGTACTTCTTGAGCACTTTACCCTTGCCTACTGAACTCCTGACACTATAGATCACATACAGCTTTATTATGAATGGCATTCATGATGTTTTCTATAGGAGGCAATGCTTACCTGTTATCTCAGATACATACTTGAAATAAAAAGGTAACTTACCAAGACAAGTTTTGATTATTAAAGATTTTTTTTAATTCATGAGACACCCTGATGAAGAATAAGCTTATTCCTCTAAAAATCTTACTTGGGATTCAGAGTTAGCAGGGAAATGGAGGAATAGTTGCATCTGCTTCACCCCTTACATCCTAGGATGAGACAAAGTATTCGACAAAATTTAGACAAGACACAAATGAACAATATCATTAGTCACACTCTAGATCTGCATGCTCATTACATTGACAACGAGTTCTGCACAGGCAGCTGTGTGTTGAAGGACTGCAGTTACTGGAATGTAGGTAATGAGTGATTTTCTTGACAAGATGATGTGGTGTGTAACTCAGGTCCAGAGATTGCAGGAGGAAGAGTTTCACGTGATGTTTTGAAGTAGTTCTTGATGCAAAGCATCAGTAACAAGAGAGAGAACAGAAGACATCAGGCTTGTGAGAGCCACTTTGGGATTCTGATGAGACAACCAGTTGAGATTTTATTTCTGTGCTTTAAAAATAATTTGGCGTTGAGTTGAAGATCCTGATGGGATCAAAGGATTGCTTTAACTGTCTACTAGACAACTAACAAAAGTATGTTAAGTAATGTGTATTGAGAATATACCCTTTTTTGCTTGTGAATCAGTCCCATTTTTCTTAATATTTTAATTGTTTACAGGTTTCCGTGTGCAACTTGTATGAAACTGTTAAGATTTTAACTTGTTCATGTCACACTGGTTAGTTCGTATGATTGGTTACCTTACTCAGTTTCTTGAGAGAACAAAAAGCGGAGTTACGAAGTTCTACTGCTTATTAAGTAACAGTTGAGAAATTTCTAGCATCCTCTAATAGTTTCAATTATTATCCAAGTTGGTTGTGCATAACTGATACAAATTCACAAAAAGTAAAATGAGTTAGTGTTAGTATTGCTGAAAACTGTAAGCAGATTTTCTTCAACTGATCTTGTTTGATAGCTGAACCAAATGTTCAATTTGTTTACCTTGATAAAAGAGAGTGGAGTAGTTGAAATAGTGCCATTTGCTCACCTACTCATTCAGTTTTTCCAAAGCTTTGTTTTCAGTGCTGCTTTTTGGTTTAAGTCATAAAGGGTGGTTTTTAAATTGCCAAGAATTCAGCAAGGATTTTGAGCCTTCTCTGCCTCTCGTTTAAGGCATGGTCTGTGCCACATACGTTAAGACAAGCAAAGGTAGCCTGGACAGTAGGGCACAAGGCTGGGAGCTCCGACTCCAGCTTTGCCATTTACCTGCTGTGAGTGGAGTGAGCGGGCCGTGGTCTGCTTCTACTTCTGCCTTCCCTCCCACCCTATGTATGCATTACATATTTAGACCGAGAAGTTGAGGAGTTGTGCTTCTTCTGTTGTACAATTTCAGGTGAGACTTTTGGGTGCTGCTGTTGTATGGGTACTGGTATAATAGACTTGTGGTTTAGGATAGAATTACAATCACTGAGGTAGACTGCATTAGTGCTGTAGTATCCAAGTTATAGCAAGTCCAAGAGTGTTAGCAATGTGGCGTACTGCTGTAGATCCATGTTAGTATAAAGTATTACAAATATTGGTAATAAAGTGGCTGGTGTTTATAACTCCAAGGAGAACAAATTTGCAATCCTGATATAACTTACGTTTTAAAATATTTTTCCCTCCCTCATATAAGGCTTTGGCAGCTCGACTACATCTGGGTTTAACTTCAGCAATCCCGGCATCACAGCATCAGCTGGCCTGACGTTCGGGGTATCTAATCCTGCATCTGCAGGCTTTGGGACAGGAGGGCAACTTCTTCAGCTGAAGAAACCTCCAGCTGGAAACAAGCGAGGGAAAAGATAGGCACCCCTTTTAGGGAAGGGGAAGAGAATCAACTTTGTTCATCTGAAAAGTCTATTTTTCTAGATTGATGCATTAGTTAAATTGCATCCCAGGAGATTTATAAAAATTTTGCTACTTTTCCCTAGTCTGAAATACAAAATGGAATCATATTGAACAGCTATTTTCTTGTGAATAGAAACCCGTTTATGTATTTTTATTTTTGGTCCTAGTTTTAGAAATGTTCTATACTGCATTATTATTAAAGAATCTTGTAAAACCATCTATTTAACCTAATGTTAGTAGCAGAATATTTTTTGTTAATAAGCTTTATACCATATGAATATATGCATATTTGTTTTTTTGTACAGATAAAATATATTCTAGTACAAATACTAGAGTTCATATCTTCTGTTCCTGGATATGGCCTTTAAATCTACTTCAGGGTGTTTTTGTGTATATGGATGTAAATATATACAGTACAGTGCACACATCTGTGTGTATGTATGTGTATATATATGTGTATAAAATACAGATGTGCAAACCTCACCCCATAGACAGGTCTCCTTTTCTTTGTGCGTTCTCTTTCTCCATGTTCCCCTGTGGTCCCATACCTTGATGTTCCGAGGAGTTTCCAATAGTGGGTCCTGGGCTATGTCATCATTGCTTCTTGTGTTCTGTTGTTTAAGACCAGCTGACATACAATGTTTACTATTTCATAAAGTTTGGTAAGTAGTGGTTAGTAGCTGGATTTTTTTAACCTTTTTCTTCACCTATTTAGCAGCCAACTGTAAAGAAGAATCTGAGGTTTTGACACAGACATTTCATAGGTGGTGTTCCCAAACTGGTTTTGTTTTTTCTGCTGAGCTGAACAGTAGAGTGTTGCAGGACTTCAGCTGAAAGTTTAGGATGCCACGAGGTCTGTGTGCAAGCAGAGGGTTGTTGGGCTGGATGAGCTTTTCCCTGCAGTTGGGGGAGATAGGATATGCTATTCTAATGAAAACCCAAATTAGCTGTTACAAAAATGGAGTTGATTCACTAGCTTCTTGTCAGTGCTACTAGCACTGACTTAAAAGCAGTTGCGTATCTGCTGTCAATACGAGGTATAGTACAATAACTTGCTGCTAAGGAATGGAGGAGGAAAATGATGCAATTTGAAGGTTAAACCTCTTGCAACAGTAGTTTATGAATCTTGCATATTACAACATCATAGCTTGTTGTGCTGCATTTCCAATTTGGTGTGCACTAGAAGTAGCTGGGAAAACATCTTAAGGAGGGAATAATAGCTCAATTGTATCTTTGCAAATAAAGATACAGGCTGAAGTGTGAACATGGAACTTTGGAGCCAAGTTGCTTTTTATGTAGAAGATGTTTTGTATATAACATGCATCAAATGAATATTCACAATCATTTTCACAAAAGCACCTTTTTTTCTAAAACAGTTACAGTGCTTAAGATTTTTCTAGTACTAGGTCATTTGCTTTCTATTGTTAGAGTTACTACCATTTTGTATGTTTTGGAAATGATGTCTGCATTCAGCAGTGATTGCTCTTTGACAAATGTTCGGTTTGTCACTTGATCTGATAAAATTAAGGGAAACTGAGCACAGAATTCTTCACTTTTGTACTAGTATGTTATTGCATCTTTGTGAGCAGTCTCTTAGGAAGGGATACAATGGTTTTTTTTAATGTCTCGGAAAAATAAAGCTTACAGTTTATTTTAATTTCAACCTTTTTTTTAAACTTTTATTGGGCTGCAGTCAAAATCGTAATGTTTGTATTCCTTTGTTATTGCTTTTTTTAATAGTTAATATGTTAAACCACTGGACTCTCTTGTAATGTATTAATTTGTGAAACTAATTCTAAATGTGTACTGTTTGTCCCTATGTGCAACTTACCATTGTGCAAACAATAAAACAATAATGCTGTGATCCTTGTAATAAATATTTCCCTATTTGAAAGATCGTTTCCTGCTGTTCTCCTATGTTATAGGAGAAACAAAAATGTCATCGGCTAATACATAGAATTGTTTTTCCTAGAAGTTATGTAGTGCAAAATTATTCTTGCTGAAGTTAGGGCCTTGATCTCTGGATTGAAAGTGAGGGGGTGAAGGGAGGTATTGTATTGTGGGTTTGTCTAGATCTCCTCACAGTGCACTATATAGACCTGGATCGTGGTGTAATGTAACACAGCACTAGGTATGGCTTTGTAAATTTGAAAGCAGTCTTTGCCTCCTGGGTACCTGTGTTCTGTTTCTTTTCACATTAAAGCAACACTTAGGCTGAACTAAGGACATAAGTGAAAAAGTGGTTATGTAATAGAATAATGACATGCTGGAGTACAAACTAAAGTCAAAATGGGATTTGAAATAATTATGTTCCCAGAATATTACTTGGGTGGCTGAATGTAGCCACGATTTTCAGGGATCAGCATTGTATACGCTGTTTGAAAAGTTCCCCACCCCCCGCAATTTAAAGACATGTAGTAAAATTAGAGTGCAAATCACAAATACATCCAAGGTGTGGCTTGGTTATCTACAAGGCAGGTTAAGAAGCTGACCTGTACTTAAACACTGTGAAATGAAATCAAGTCTGGATTATTTGTTCTGTAAAGAAAGAAAAATAAGTACTGGAGGAAGGTTGAAGTCACATATGTAGGATGTGGTTCTCTATTAGTTTGTACCTTGTTGTACGGCTGTGGTGTAAACTTACTTATGTGACCTTTTTCTTTTACTAGAAGTAACTTGTTTTTTCTTCACTCTTCTCCCTACAATGAATGTAGCAGGAGGTAAGATAGCGTTATGCCTTAGATTGCTTGCTTCATGAACCTCTTCCTGGTCCAGCACCTGAAAACTTTCTTTACGTTCACATTTGTCTCAGTTCCTGACAAGTTGGCTAGCTAGATGCTACCACACTTATTGCTTGCTTGCAGATTGGGAGGGAGAAGGTTGAAATAAGGTGGAGTTGGGTAGAGTTTATGCATCTTCCTTACCACAGGAAATCCAAATCCAGCTATACCTTCTCCATCTACGTATTTATAACATAACAGCATTTTGAACCTCAGTTGCTTTTATAGCATCATTTTTAAAATGAAAATAAAGTTCAGGAATGCAGGTTTAGTGGCCTCTGTTTTTTTCCTTCTTTGACATCAGTAGGAATTCTTTGGTTTTCTCCAGTATGCTACTCATGTTAATAGTAGGAATAATCCACAGTCGGTCATGTCCTTACATGTTACTGGTTCTAATACCTGAAATGTTGCAGCAGAAGGTGGGAAGGAAGCACCTTGTAGGTTCTTAGTGAGAAATCAAGAGTAACTATAGAAAAATCCATCTGATTGTACAGTGTAAATGCCTTATGCTCTATATAAGTTTGTTTCCCTAAAACTCTTATTCAAGTTTTAAGAACGAAGAACTGACTATGTGCAAAAAATTGCCAGCAATAAATTAATGCAGTTTTTGAACTAACTGCTGGTACTGTGCTGTCAGGCTGTTTCTCTTTTCCCTCTCATTAAGTACCTTTCAACACTGCAGCTAGTATCTCCAGACGCTGATGGGTGGTTAAAGTATCACAGTAGTAGATTTGTACAACTTCTCATGAAAATCAGCAGTTGGGCTTGGGGAGGGGAGTGACACCGAGTTGGTGCCCGCAGCAGCTCTGGAAGGCAGCAGTCACCCGCTGTGACAGTGCCCGTGGAGCTTCAGCCCAGTTCTAAAAGTCGATCTCCACCTGCCCAGACAGGTAGGTTGCTTAAAAGGAGGATGGAGATGGTGAGTGGGGACAAGAAGGGTGGGGAGGGATAAGGGGATGTAGAGTACAAGGCTTCCTCCTGTGAACGGGGCAATTTGTTTTAATTCAGTTTGGGATCATTGCTTCTGAACTCAATGTTGAATATTTATATGCTGGTATTTTTGTAGTCCTAAATCAACTGAGTTTGTAATATAACTTTTTGTATTGGTTGAATGTTGTGTTTAGTAGGTAGAAATAGATGATAGTAGCAGTTTCATTTTCTACATGGGTGACTTTTTTTTTTTACTGGGGGGGGAATTATAAATTAACTCCATAAGCAAAGGAATTTAAAAAAAATATAAAATAAAGGGAGTCCTGTCAGGAGTCCAATAGCTCTGTTGGAGAATGCTGCTTTCACCAGGTGGCAGGAGGCTGCCAGGTACATACTGCCACTGCAAAGCCCTCGCAGGTGTAGCTGTCATGCAGCATGTCACCTTCTGTTTCCAGGTCACTCACGTTTTCTTACACTTTTTTAAGGTACTAGGATTTTGTTAAACTTCAATATTTGAATGATCCTTCTGACCCGATTGATTCCTGTTACGAGGTTTATTACTTAATGCTTTTTTACTGAGCCTCAGGAATTTAATCTTTATAGCCCATCGCTGCAGTTGAAGTGCCAGTGTGAGGAGGTGAGTAGGCTACATGTTACGTCAGCTTTGATAACTTTTCCAAAGAATGGTTTGCTTTCTGTTTTCTCACCTTCTAGAAGTAAGGCAATTCTAGCTTGTTAGGAACAGGTTATGATTAAGTTTAGAAGCTTCTACAAACTAGAAAAGCTTCTGGGTTGATTTTACTTTTGTTTGAGTATAGATCTGTCCCTACCAAGGTATCAGGTCAATTCTGTGGAACACTTGCATGGAAAACTTGGAATACATACTCCTGTCCTAAACAGGTCAATAGCTGAACAGGCAAGAGATATTCTACTTTTTCATTCAACTAACGTTTCACAGACTGATGGATTCCCCTCCTTCATTTCTCTTCAATGCAGGTGTCACTCTACGGCATGTGCTTGGGCAGCAGCAGGACAGCAGCTTTCTAGAACATGTACTTGCTTCCAAAATCCAGTTCTGATTAAAGGCTGGTGTTTATGTCCTGGGCAAGAAATCCCTTGCTGGCTCTGTGTCTTTAATGTGACATGTGGTAACAGGGTATGCTGCAGAGGTGATGATCCCAGCCACAAAAGCAACCTAGGATGATGAGGTTTTGATCAGACGCTATGGTGTAGTAAAAAGGGAAAGAAATGCAGACTTGACAAATATTTCAAATCAAGTATTCAAAATCAAACTATTTATTATATGAAACTTGAAATTCTGAAAAACACCATGTACTCTTAATAAGAGAAGGGGGTAAGTTCTCATGGGGGGGAAATTGTGACAGTAGACTGAGAAGACTTTCGGTTGGGTGAAACCTTGGGGAAAAAAATAGGCACAGATTATGTACAGTTGGGTAGCTAAAGCTAGTCTATTAACTCCATAGTTAAGTACCTAAGCAGAAGCTACTCTAAACTGAAAAAACACCAAAACCCTCTAATCAACATACATATAAAGGCATCGAACCTCTGAACATCAACACTTTTGCTGTTCTATCCTGGGATAAGGTAAGGTACATGTGATAAAGGAGTCCTTACCAAAAAAAGGTCCACCTTTCAAAAAAGGCTTGGGCTGGGTGGGTCCAAATGCTAAATGGATGTGATGGCAGTGAGCAGTTAGGCCAGCACTACCCAGGTCCTAATTAGTGTGGGGACATCTCTCCATCTCTGCTGGAGATGGGAGGAGGAGCAATGGTGAGCATACCCGTACCTTACCCGTGTGCCACCTTTGTTGTTTCGTGGAGCTGTGCTTGGCATGGCTCTCCAGCGAGTTGCCTCCTTTATCCTTGGCAGCAATGCCGAAGGTAGCGATGGTGGTTCTCATTGAGCATCAGCTCGGAGAAGGTGAACTGACCAAAGTGATAGCAAAAGGAACATGCTAGCATTAATGCCAGGGAAATGAGTCTTAGTAGTGCATGTTATATCAGTTTCAAATAGGAACAGTCTTTTTTTTTTTTTTCTTTTCCCGTTTATTTTGGCTGCCGACTAAGGGAACTGGTGGCTGCCTGCAGGAACTCAGTGCAGCTAACTTCGCCATTGCTTACCCCCATGGTAGCAGTGTAACGCTTAAACTACAAGAATAGCTTTCAAAGAGCAGGCAGGTGTTTGCATACCTCCGGCAGCCAAACCAGAAGCAAGCCTTCTCCCTGGGGAGGGCGAGACCTGCTTCGGCTGTTTGCTAAGCTTACACGGTACAGACCACAAAGGGAAAGCTCCTGCTTGGTCCTGCGGTAGCACAGTGAAGTTGATGCTGAGCTCTGCTCCGAGAGCAAAGAGGGAAGGCTTTTAACGTTTATGTTGGCTTCAAGCACGGTAATGCTCTGTCGGTGCCAATAGCAACCTCTTACTTGTATCAGAGATGCGCAGAAGTGGCTGGAACCGCAGGGAGGCTGTGGCAGCTCGTCCAGATCGCCCTGCGTGGGGCGAGAATCACTGTGCTGAAGATGTAGGTCTAATGCAAATGCCTATTAGCTTATATTTATACTTTATTAATAACAATATTTAGCTAGAAATGCTCGTCTGAGTAATTTGTCACTTCCCTCGTCACCTCTCCCTGCGCTTTATTTCTAGCGCCGCAGCAGCCAGTACAGCTGTTATTTATTGCTCTGTCAGGGTGATGCCCGCACGGTGGTGGTGACGGGGTTTGCCAGGCTTCCGACCTGCTCGGAAACACAGGGCCAAAAGGGGTACTTGGGTAAGATCGTGGGCTCGGGCAGGTGGATGGTGATAGTGTTCCAGCAGTGACAGAAATAGGAAGATTAAAAACCAAACAGGG